GCAGCATCCTTACTCGGTCTAGGTTTGCATCCGATTTCTGGACATTTTATAGCTGAACATTACATGTTCTTAAAGGGACATGAAACTTACTCGTATTATGGGCCTCTGAATCTACTCACCTTCAACGTGGGTTACCACAACGAACACCATGACTTCCCCAACGTTCCCGGGAAAAACCTCCCACTGGTAAGTAAAGGATTTGAAACATTCTAATGTCATTTGAAACATTCATATGACCAAAATCAGTTGTAACTTGCCCATTTTGTTTTTTTATTTTTTATTTTTTTAATGTTTATAAGAAAGAGAGAGAGAATGAGCAGGGGAGGGGCAGAGAGAGAGGGAGACACGGAACCCCAAGCAGGCTCCAGGCTCCGAACTGTCAGCACAGAGCCCAAGGCAGGGCTCGAACTCAAACAGTGACATTGTGACTTGAGGCGAAATCAGACACTTAACTGACTGAGCCACCCAGGTGCCCGTAACTTGCCCGTTTTAAAAGGAATCTAATGTATTTTGTCCACCTGAGTTGCTCATCAAAGCAGACAACAAGTAGAGATCCCGAGTCCGCCCCCCCCCAGTGTTACAGGGTTTACTCTCCGAATCCCTAAGTCTGGGGGTGGCCCTTGGGGGTTAGGAGCTAAGGGTCTGCCAGCTTGCGAGGTATATCCGAGATGGAGCAGTGCCTATGCAAAGGGAGCCGGAGTTGACGTTGCTTTATCACTGTTAGATCGATGGGCTCAGCTAAGATTTATGTGCTGGCTTGTTGGGAAATACACACGTCCTATGGAATTGGCCTGCACGGTCTGTGAACGATCCATTCCAGAGCTGCAAACGTCCCGCGGGCAGGGACTGTCTGTCTCCCTGCCCGTCAGACTTGTATGTGTTGTTTGTGGAGCACATGAAGGAACACGCTTGGATTTCCCTGTAGGTTTTTAAATGCTGACTGATGACAGACACACATCACATGAACACTAAATGGGGACAAATCATTGTGGACTGGATTTGTGCTTGAGGAAGGAAAAATCCAGAGAGAGGACTTTGGGTCTGTGGGGAGGCTTTCAACCTATACCGTGTAATAGCTAATACCGTGCGGATACTCACTTTCTTGAGTGTGAACATGGTATCATGGCTTTGTGGGAGAAGGTCTTTGTTCTTGGGGAATACTGAGGTGGAACGTGAGGGTAGGTTGTCACAGAATGTCTGCAACTTACTCTCAAAAGGCTCAGCAAAGAAAGCAAATTACGTGGTGTGAATCTGTGCAGAGAGAGAGACTCAACGGTTTCCGTTGGGGGGCCTGGGGAAAGGGCATGTGTCTGTTTTACTCTTCTCTCAACTTTTCTCTAAGCTTCACGTTTTTCAAAATAAGATGGAAACCACACAGCTGAAGACAACTTTGAAAGCATCTTAATGTGACACTGGCACAGCTCCTTTGTGTCTTTCTGGCCGAGTACAGGCCCGAAGACAGCGTGCGGCCTGTGTTCACTTCTGCCCTGAGGAAGTGGACTTTTTACTTACTTGAAAAAAATTTTTTTAATGTTTATTTATTTTTGAGAGAGAAAGAGCGTGAGCAGTGGTGAAACAGAGAGAGAGGGAGACGCAGAATCCGAAGCAGGCTCCAGGCTCTGAGCTGTCAGCACAGAGCCCGAGGTGGGGCTCCAACTCAGGAACTGTGAGATCATGACCTGAGCCGAAGTCAGACGCTTAACCGACTGAGCCACCCAGGCGCCCCTTTACTTACTTTTTAAAGAGGCTATAAAGGTGGTTGCCCTTTGGACAAAGTCATTTTTTCAACATTAACCATACAGTTGATCCTTGAACAACACCGGGGTTGGGGTGCCAACTCCCCGCATGGCTGAAAATCCACATGTGACTTTTGACTCCTCCCAAATGTAACTGTGAATAGCCCTCCTGTTGACCGGAAGCCTTACGGATGACGTAAACAGTCGTAAACAGTGGGTCAACACATGTTTTGTATGTTACAGTGTTGCGTACTGTGTCCTTGCAGTAAGGTAAGCTGGAGAAAGGAAAATGTTAAGAAAATCATAAGGAAGAGAAGACACATTTACAGGACTGCACCGTGTATCTGGAAAACACGTCTGTGTGTTAAGTGGACCTGCGCGGTTCACACCGTGTTGTTCGAGGGTCAGCGGTACTTGAACTCATGAGTTTCCTGAATAGCCCCCAGCACACTTGGCCCGGTTCAGGTTCACTTGACGTAAGGCCCAGGGCTCTGTAGTGTCCTCTTGGCTCCCGCTCAGTGCGTGCGGTCTTAGTCTTTAGCTCCTTACACGTGTCCGCGTCCTCAGTGCTGTGGTCGCCTTCCCTCTCCTGCCCTTCCTGTCCAGTGCGTATCAGGGAGCATTCTGCTTCCTCCGCGAATAGCTGGTATTTACCAAGTAGTGACAATGCGCGTAACTAGCACGTTGTTAACTGGTGTGCATGACGAGGTTTCTTTTGAACACTTTATTGAGCTGTAACTCACGTACACAGCTCACCTATTGAAAATACACAGTTCAGAGCGTGATGGGAAAGAGTCCATAATCCTCGAGGGTCAAGTATATTTTGGTGTTGAAATGCAAACTGCCTTGTGTTAGAATTCCCGAAGCTGCTGCCTTTCCCGAAGTGTTGGCTTTCCGGAGGGCGGAAGGTCTGGTGGTTTCTCCGTGTCTGTGTCGGGCATCCGTCTGTCCCGTTCGATCGCACTCGGTCAGCGCTCACTACCCACGTTGCTGTGTGTTTGCTCTCGTAGGTGAGGAAGATAGCGGCTGAGTACTATGACAGCCTCCCTCACTACACCTCCTGGGTCAAAGTCCTGTACGACTTTGTGATGGATGATACAGTGAGTCCCTACTCGAGAATGAAGAGGCACCAGAAAGGCAAGGCAGCACTGGAGTAAGTGTCACTACGGCCGAAGGAAGGTCCTCTGTGAAACTTCACCACAGCTGAAAAGTGGCGTTTCTGCATTATTCATCCAGGACCGCGATGTTGAGAAGCCCCTCTTACGGTGTCTGCACGTGACCCCCGCGCCACCAGGAGCTTACCTGGCTGTCAACAGCCGGCCCGCCCGGCCGCCTTCAGCTGCGCTCACAGGAGACGTGTGTGCTGCGTCATTGTGGGGGAAGTGTTCCCTGGTGTCTGAGGTTTTGTAAGCATATCATAAAAAAGCTTTAAAAAAAGCTCTTTCTAGTATGTTATTTTCACTATAAAGTTGTACTTTATTAAAACAGCTAATAAACTGAGCTATTAATCACGGTAGCGTTTGTGACATTTTCATACTTGACTGTCCTCATCTAATACGGTACTGGGGTGAGTCTACTTCAAAATGTCACTGCCCTCCAAAAAGAACGATCCGTACACCTCTTTCCCTGTAAGCCGAATTTTTAATTTCTCCTATCGTACACGGAACTTACATCACGCTGCTGAAACTCGTAGCCTGTTCCCAAAGAAGGTGCCGCGTTTAATCACATCCAACATTTCACTTCCTTTTTCAGACGAACAGACTCAAATTAGCAGCTGAGCTGAGGTTTCGTGTCATCTCACTGCAGCGGAAGCGGGCTGCGATGTGGTGGCAAGGAGCGGCTTCCGGCAGCCGGCATCCCGGGTGTCAGGCTCGCAGCCCTGCGTCCCCGGACGGTCACGTGGGTGAATTTAGTGTAATGCGGTACAGTATTTAAAGATAATACGCGGGATCAAAAAGTCAAGGAGGTCTCCAACACAGCCCTCAGGTAGCCGTACTGTGAGATGTGACAACATTCCTCTAACGTCACGACCGCCCCGCTCAGGGTGAAAACAGAAGCCTTGGCCTCCGAAGGGCCAGCAAACCTGCTTGACAGACCTCGTCTCACCCCCACAGGACTTTGCTTTCCCCTCCTGGCCCTCCCGCCTAGGAAAGTCCCCGGTCCCCGGACTACTGCTTACAGAACCATCGCGTGAACAGTGAGCAGCGTTCAGAGCACTGACGCGATGACAGACGACACCATCTGTGCAGCACGCCCTGGACTCGATGCGTTGAGTCTGCTGTGTCCTCTCCTGCTGTCCTTGCCTGCGGGACGCAGCCACGCAGGCTGATGGCCCCCGAATCCCCCCCGTCAGGCGGCTCTGCCTTCTCCGAGCCCTGTCACTGCACAAGTACACGCCCAGTTGGTCACCCTCAATATACGTGGTGCACACGCTTAACCCTTCCCCAGGCCTGCGGCTGGCGGTCCCGTCACCCGTCCTCACCTGGGTGGTGGGTCTCCTAACCCAGCAGCCCCTTTTCTGTCCCCAGCAGTGACTTTTCCCAAGAGAGGCCTCTGACTCGGGGGGCCGGACCCGGCGCCCGGGGAGCTCCAGGGCGGGGCGTGTGAAATCCTCCCGTGGCTTTGCACAACTCCCTTCTGCCCACATTTCCTTTCCCCTTCCGGTCCGCTTGGCTCACCTCAGAACTCACGCCAGCCCTCGCGGCCTGTCCCCACTCCCCAGCAGTCCAGCGCCGCTCTTGGACTCCCCGAATGATTCACGGCCCCGCGTTCTGCTTATACATGTGTGGTTTGTGTCCCCGTGAGGCGGTAGCTCCCGGGGGGCAGGAAAGATCTTTACTGTCATCTGCCAGACCTAGCAGGGTCCACGCTTGGCTCTGAGGTGGGCTCGTAGTAGATGGAGAGCAACTTACGGAGATGGTCCTTGAACAAAGCCAAAGGTGGAGGGCGTGTGGGGTTCCGAAGACAGCGACCCTACCGCTCGCGGAGCCTGCATCCGGCCTCCTTGGGTTCATCCTTCCGCGACGCACACAGAGACGGCTTGGCAGCGCTGAAACTGGCCCGAGGCCGCCCTGGGCGAGTGGCAGGGGCGGCTTATCTGCCGAGCCCGGCTCAGGAACACGCAAGAACGAGTTCCTTCCAGGGCCTGGGCGAGCACTTCCTATGTGCCTGCGGTCAGGCTGTATCTCTGGGGTTTAAACTTTTAACCATCCAAACTCTGGTGTTTTAGAGTTTGGCTTTTTATCGAACGTGTCGCAGCAGGGGTTAGTCAAAAAGCCCAAAGCCCAAGCTGCCGCCAGACTTCTCAGATTCTTCCTCTTGTGTCCACTTTCTCCTGGGGGGAGGGTGGCACTGGGGGGAGGGCAGGGCAGCTCCCCCAGCTCCTCCGCTGCCCGTGGGGCCCCCGATGTGGATGCCGGCCGGCGCCTCTGCAGACGAGCCTGCCAGAGAGGTTCAGTATTTACGCCGGCATCGCTCTCCCCTAAGTGACGTGCCCGTCATGCACAGGAAGGGGACCGAGGAGACGCGGGCGGCGTGCACACGGCTGCCGGGCGTGGTGAGCGCCAGATGAGGCGAGGGCCTCACCCCGACGCACCCGAGTGCCTAAGCAGAAGCTGAGGAAAGGGCCGGCCTAAAATGCTACTCTGGAACATCAGCGTGTAAACTCAGAGCAAAAATGCATTTCCTTATTCAGTCTACAGGCACTGCGTCAGGCAGTGAGGACGTGGCCAGAACCCGGTCCCAAATTAAAGAGCTGATGCTCTGGGGCAAGGACTGCGTGTGCAGAGATCCCCCCTAAAACGGGGGGGTCCCGTGCGACTACCGCCGAGGGGGGGGCACACAGCCACCTGCAGGCCACTGCGTACCTCGTGCTGGGCTAGCACGGAGGGAGCCCACACTTTCTCAGGAAGAAACGTGGGGCCCGAGAGACTGGCCCGAGGATGTGTGCGGAGCGGCCGGGCCACGGCCCGGGCGCCTGTCGCACTCGCCCGGCCGGCTGGGAGGCTGCGCGTCGGATGAGGAAATGTGTTCTCTCTTGTCTTGCCGGAGCGTCTTCCAGGAGCCTTAGTCATGTGGAATGAAGAAGGATGGGCCGGCAGGCCCGGAAACGCCACCCCAGAAGCCCGAGACCCTGGAGCGGCAGCAGCTGGTGGGGAGGCCAGGGGGAGGAGACAGAGGGCGGGAGCCACGCGGGGCGGAGGCGAGTGCCACCTCCCGGGCAGCCCCAAGTGGGAGAAGGGCAGGCCGTGCAGGTTGCATCGGGCCGGTGCACTTTGGAAAGTCGCCTACGCGGTTGAGAACGCAGAATGAGGAGCAGGGGGGGAGAGGGCGGCTTCGTGGCTTTGTGGTCGCCAGGTCCGGCCCGCCGTGGCCGACGGCCCAGGAGGGCCCAGCGGAGGGAAGCTCTCTCCCACACCGACACACGCAAGCCTCGGGGCGGTTGGGAAGGCAGCTCGGGCGGGCGTGGCTCGGCAAGGGGTTGGGACCCTGTCCGCGACGTGTCGTCTGTCACGGGGCTGCGTGGGGGTGCGACACACCCCTTCTTGGCCTGGGACACACACCTGGCATTTTCTCCCAAAAGGCAGGATGCACAGACACACGAAGAGCGTGTTCACAGCCCACGTCCTTTTATCGGTGGCCCCGGTGAAAGGAAGAGAATGGGGCTTTGTGGGAAAGGCCTGGAGGAATTGCAGTGCCCTCCACGTGGGGCTCCGGATGCTTGCAGACCAGCAGTTTGCTGATCCAGGACGGCCTCTAATCTACCCCCACAAGGCCGCTGGACGGGCCGTCGGTGGGGGAGGGGGGGTGGGAGTGACCCTGAGTGAGCAGCCACTCGTCAAAACGGGAACAGGGCCGGCGGGAGCCCGGGGTGGGGGGTGGCGGTTTAGGCCTCGAGTTTCCCTCCCACTTAGCGGAGGTGTCCCGGCCCCAAGCACACACGCACCGTCTGCCTTCCTCTGCGGTGGCTGTTGTCTTGACCGGCACATCGTGTCCCCTCGCCAGCTGGGGCTGTCAGAGCGCTGACGGGAAAAGGGCCCCCAGCCCCGTGCCCCTTGCGGCCCCTTCGGCGCCCTGGCGCTCCGGGGGCATCGGCTCTGGGCCACCCACTGCCAGGTTCCCCGGTCAGGAGCCCGGTGCTTCTCCTCAGCCGAGGGGGCTCCCCGCCGCGCCCCACTTGCAGACTCCAGTTCACACGCTGCCTCCTCCCCAGTTTTGTAAAAGTGACTCTTAATCTCCGGCTACCGTCTCAAAAACAGACAAATACAAGCGAGAGGGCTCAGCGACAATCGAGACGGAGCAACAAACTCAACACACTCTTGACAGTTTCTTTCTCCCCCTTGAGCGCATGTGACCCGCGGACCCCAGGCCGCGCTCTGGGCTTCCCCCGCCACCCACCGGGGGCCCGGACCCCAGGACGGACCCAAGCAAAACCCAAACTCCCGTGGCCCCTCGGGAGCGGAGGTGGTGCCCGGCTAACGGCTCCCGAGCCCCGGGCCCCACGCGGTCCACCCATCCCGGTGTTGGCTCCTTTCTCCGCAGACCAGAGACGCGTGACGACGCCCTACGAGAATGTAGCCACGTTATCTCCTTTCAAATCAGACGACTCGGTTAAAGGAGCAGGACAGAGACAAAGTCAGGCCGGCCACCCGCTCTCCGAGGAGCCGCAGAACGACAAGCTTCAACTAGATCCTTCTAAGCAGGAGCCCTTGGCGCCAGGCCACCTGCCTCCCAGCACCCGCCTCTCTCGGTTCCCCATGTGGACCGAGGGCGCCGGGCCACGTGCGAGGGGCCCTGGGTCTGACTGGGGGGATGTTCTGCGCTGAGGGCTGGGCCCCAACATCTCCCCGCCTCCCAGGGAGAAGGACCAGCCGTCTCTGCACCTCTAGGGGCCACCTGGCACAGCTCCAGGCCCCGGGGGACCCGGCCGCCCAGACGCTGCCCTAGCTCTGCACAGGTTTGCACGGGGCCATCTCTGCCGCTTTGCAGAGTTACATGTTACGAGGGCAAACGAATTTTCTGAGGAGGAGAAGCCAGCGGATGCACATGAGCTACATATGCACAGAGTCCTGCCCGGGGGTGGGGGGCTCGCGGTGCCGAGGGGGCTCCTGGGGGCGGGGTCTGCCCGTGTGCCGTCAGTCCCATCATCCTCATTGTGCAGCTAAGGAAACAAATTCAGAGTCTGTGACATTTTTCTTGAATCCAGGGCCTGCTTCCTAATTAGTCTGACAACTGAAGTGTCAAAGACGGGATCAGGTCTGTCACTCCCAGGAATGTGGCCCTCCTCCCCCACCTCCTGGCCATGTGGCCGGGCGGGTGTGACTGCTGCTCTTCAAGCTGTCTCCTCCAAGTGCTCCCGAGGCCCGGAGCGCACATCTAACCTAGCATTTTTTTTTTTTAATGTTTATTTTTGAGAGAGAGAGAGAGAGTGTGAGCAGGGGAGGAGCAGAGAGAGAGGGAGACACAAAATCGGAAGCAGGCTCCGGGCTCCCAGCTGTCAGCACAGAGCCCGACGCGGGGCTCGAACCCACGAACCGCGAGATCGTGCCCTGAACCGAAGTCGGATGCTCAGCTGCCTGAGCCACCCAGGCGCCCCAAACCGAACGCTTTTAAGAGCTGGCTCAGGGGGCAGCTGGGTGGCTCAGTCAGTTAAGCGTCCGACTTCGGCTCAGGTCATGATCTCACGGTAGGTGAGTTTGAGCCCCACGTCGGGCTCTGTGCTGACAGCACGGAGCCCGGAACCTGCTTCGGATTCTGTCTCCCTCTCTCTCTGCCCCTCCCCCACTCACACTCTGTCTCTCTCAAAAGTAAATAAACATTAACAAAAATAATAAAACAAAAAATAGTTCAAAAAAAAAAAAAAAGAGCTGGCTCAGAATCATACGGTTTGCAAAGGACGCAGCTCTGTAGAGACCATCCCGCCCCTGTTCTTGGAAAAGCAGGCAGGACCTGGGCCCAGTTAGCCAGCAAGAAAGGAGGTGGGCACGGGACGCAGTGAGCACCCCTGCCTGGGAGGATGGCAGTGGGGGGGCGGCCGCTGCAGACCCAGCTCCAGGGCCCAGGGCCCAGCCCCGGCCCGTGAGTGGGGCCCTGGGAAGGGAGCCCGGCCGGGCCACCGCTGTTCCGTGGCGCTTGGAGGACACCGCGTCACCTCTCGACACCTTGGAGACAACAGGTAAGAGAAACCGCAGCAAAGCCCTCTGTGCCGCTTCCCTGTCCTTCCGTCCATCTCCCAGGGCGGGGGAGGGGGGGACGTGCTGGGGGACCCTGTATTGAGGGCACGGTCACTGCCTGGCCTTAGCTCCTCCTGCCCCTGGGAACGCCGCGGTGTTGAAACTGGTCACCAGCCGTCTGCCGCACGGCTAGCTCTGGAACGGGCCGCCCTACGGAACGGGCGCGTCTACACCCATGGGACGACTGCCCAGACGCTCCTCCTGCCCCCGAGGCCTCCGCTCCGCCTTCCGTGCCTGTGATCGTGACGCGGGTCTTCCCGTTTGAAAAGAAGCGCAAGTCTTAACCGCGCACCGGCACCCACAGCAGTCGCTGCGCGGGAGGCCTGTGTAGGGGCAGCCGCGCCCACCCCGCTCGGCTCGAGGCAGCTGCCGGCCCCTGGTCCAGCCGGCGGCTGGGGTCCACGGGCACCACCCCGGCCCGCGGGAGGTCTGCCTGCCACCGGGGCCTCTGGGCCTGGGGACCCGCACGTCCCGCGTTACCGACATGACCTGCTTTTCTAACCGCCTGATTTGAATAGATTCTTGTCCCGGGACTGGATTGGCCGCGTGACGTCGGCTTTTCAAAACTCAGCTCGCCGTGAACGTGCGCCTGAACGTGGACGCGCGGGTGCAGTTGGGCGGGGTGGGCGGCGAAACGGGAGGAGCGGGCGGGCCTCGCGCCTTCTTCCCGCCTCCCCCGGGACTCACATACGTGTGAGCGAGCACACGCGCGCACACGCGGGACCTGGGGGCCCCGTGTGACGCGGCCTCGGCTCCCCCACTCGCTGGCGGGGCCCCGGCTGCGGGGTCTGCCGCGCACACGCTCGGGACCCAGCGGCTCCAGGGGCTCCGGCTGCCTCTGCCCGGAACCGCGTCTCTGCGGGACCCTTCCTCCCCGGCCCGCAGGGCGTGCCTCGGCCGCCTCCTCACCAGCTGCTGCCGGGGTTTCACCTAGGGCCGACCTGAGGTCACGGTGTGGGTACAAACAGCTTGTCTGCAAGGTGATCGCGGGGAGCGGGGAGCGGGATCAGGACAGAAGTGGCCCTCGAGCGAGCCTGGGCGGACGTGCCCGGGCAGTCCTGGCAGGGGGCTGCAGGGTCGGGACCTCGGAGCGGCTCCCGAAGCCCCGCATCGGTCCCGTGTCTTCTCCTGGGTGTGCGCTGACGACAGAGGGGTGAGGGAGCCGGGCGTGTGCACCCGCCAAAGCCTGTCGCTCTGGTTGACCGTGTCTCCTGGGGACACGGCTAGTCTGCTGGGGAGGGGACAGGCAAAGCCCGGAGGCACAGAGACCGGGAAGGCTTCTGCACGACGTGGGTGGGAGGTGGGGGGGCCCCGAAGACCTGCGATGTCCCCTCGAGATGGAACACCCACGTCCGTCCACCACGCGGGTCTCCGTCCTGTCCCCGGGGCCAGTGCCAACGAAGCGTAAGCCTTGGAGCCACTGGCGGCACTGCCCTTGTCCGAGGCCCCAGGAGGACCCTGGCCGTGTGCTGTGCGTTGAACTGTCTCCCCCGAAAGACGTGCTGAAGCCGAGCCCCCAGACCTCAGAATGGGGGCCTTATCAGACACGGGGCCACGGTGGATGCAATCACTTCCCACGTGGTCACGCCGGTGTCCTTGTGATGGCCACCCTGGGCAGCAAACTCCCCGTGTCGGCACGTGCTCACAGGTGTCCCACGAAACTCGGGTCTGATTCATCTGCTCCAGGCGCACAGCGTCGTGCTCAGGGGCCTGCTCCCTGCAGGTACCAGCCCATCGCTTGGCCGCGGGGGCCGCCTCCCCTGCCCGGGGCACTCGCTCCCCACGGAGCCCGGCGGCGCTCGCCACCCTTCTGCCGAAAAACCAGCCGGGTCGGGCCTCTGCCCCCGTCCCTCGAACTGGCTTCCGAGGGGCCCTGGGTGCAGGGGGTGAGGTGTGATGTGGTGGCCGCCTCCAGCCTCCACGTGAAGCCCACCGTGCCTGCGCCTTGGCCTGGGGCTTTCGGGTGGTCGGCACCGCGGCCGGCGGTTTCTGCCGTCCAGTCATCTGGTGCGCGTGCCTCTGTTACGGCTGGGTGGACAGTGCGTGTGGGAAAGTCCTGCGTGTTTTCACTGACGGCAGAGGAGGGGAATGAAAAAGAAAGGGGACACGAAAAAGAAAGCGCGACTCGGGCGCCGGCCCGGCACACTCTGTGAAGCACCAGGAGGGCGTCAGGGAAACGTCCCGACGGTGGGGACGCCCGCAGAGCTGTGGGATCTGTCCCCCAAGGGCCCCGTGTCCCGGAGGGAGCATAGGGACAGAGGCAGGTGACCGGTCAGGGACGCGAGGCCTATTTGACGGGAAGCGTTGATCAGGGACAAAACCACCCAGCACGTCTGACGGGAGGAAAACTCAGGCACAACGTTTGAAACACGGGAACAGTGCTGGTCTCGGGGACGTGGGATTCGGCCACCTTTCTGTAAGTTTCTAGGGACTCCTGTAGCGGCGGGAAGGTCAGCATCAGCATCGCGAGCGAATCACGAGCTGGTCAGCGGACCCGGCGCCGGGCGCCCCCTCATCGCATGGACCTGAGGCCAGGCTTCCAGGACTCGAGTCCTCTCTCCCCGGATGAGTCACCGCTCTGCCTCGGGACGGCTCGCGGAGCAGCGGCCCAACCCCGGACCAACTGTCCCCGACCGTCCTTTGTGTCTGTAAAGAAAGGGATTTTCAGCTGCGAGGCCGGCCGGCTGCTCCTCTGGCTGTGGCCGGCTCCTCGAGCCGTCGGGGGTCACTTTCCTCACCTGCTGACCCGGCGGGCTGCCAGGACTGCCCCGGAGCGTCTTCGCAGAGGGGGCGGGACGGACGCACGGACACAGGACTGCCCGGCTGCAAGGCTGCGGCCTCGAGGGGCCCACGGGGCCCACACCGTGATCCCACGCAGGGGAGCCCCGCGGGCCTTGCCGGCCGCCTGTCTGCTATTCCCGACGTGTCCGCACACAACGGCACGCTCGGCCCCTGAGCCCTGTGTGCCCCGTGTGCACGTGAGCATCCGTGTGTCCGGCTCACTGACCGGACCCCCACCCCCAGGAGAGCCCCACGGGGACTCTGGGTGTGCTCAGAGCGGAGCGGCCAGGGACCATTTTTTGTTGAACCAATTCACGAAATCTTTGTCTGCCCTTGGGTCTCCAGTCCCAGGCCCCGGTGGACGCCGGACAGCCGTGCCCACCAGGCTTCAGGACGCGCTTCCCTGATGACCTTGGTTGGCGTCACTTGCCGGCACGTACTACGGGCCCGAGTGGACAGAAACGGGGGTCCTTCGCGGTTGGCGACCTGAGCGTCTCCCAGGCTCCTTCTTTGAGCTTTGCGGCCCTGCGTTTGTCCCCGATCCCCCCTCACTGCTCAGCCCGCCTGCCCCCGGCCCGGGCCACCCCGCAGACTCTCAAGCAGGGGCGCCCTTTCACCTCAGCAAACACCTGCCGGGCCTGGCGCCCGGGGAGGGCAAGGGCAGGAGCAGGTGCCGAGACACCAGTCTGCTGGGTCGGAAGGTGCTCCTACGGGCTTCACCCCGCGAACAGGCAGGCCACCCGCAGCCCCGGAGGCGGGCACATCTGTGTGGTGAGTCAGGGCTGGAGGGAGGCTGAGGGTTCCCGGCCCGTGTAACTGCCTCTGTGACCTTGAACCTGAGATCGCGTCTCCCTCAGCGACTCTCTCAGTCGTGCCGTGTTTCCCGAAAGCAGCCCCGACTCTAAAAATGCTTCCTTTGTGAAAGATGCCACAGACACAGGAAGGAGCGTAAAATGTCCACCTAGCACTTGAACGGTCACAACAGAGCAAGGATGGGGTCACCACCAGTCAAGGGCACAAAGCGTGTCGCAGGAGATGAACCGTGTGTGTGTGGTGCCCTGAGCCGTGATTACCAACGCCGCGCCGTCTGCCTACAAACTCAGAAAGCGGGTGGATCTAAGGTCACATGTTCTTATCACGAGCAGGAAAATTAATGAGGGTGGGAGGAGGTGACAGGTTTATGCCACGGAATGTCATAACGACTTCACAGGTGGCCGCTTATCTCCAGTCTCCTCCAGCCGTAGTCAGTGGGCACGGCGGTTTTGTACACAGTTGTACTTCAATTATGTGAGTCAACAGGAACGAAGCAGGACACGCGCGCCACAGAGGACCCCGGGCGCCCGCCCCACCCCACCCCGTCCCCCCAGAGGAGACCATTACGTGCCTCTTGTGCCAATCCCTTCCTTGTATTTCTTCTCTTTTTGTGAAGTTCTCCACGAAAAAGTGTTCTTGAGGTTTTCGAGGAAGCGGAGATCAAAAGCACTGTGAACACACTACCTTCTAAATTGCTGCAAAACGTTTCTCATCTATTCGTTCATGGAATTTCTTCAAATTACTGCCACAAAATTTTTTTTTTAACGAGAAAACATTTTTTCATTAAAGCATAATCGGCGTGCGATGTTCTGTCCACATTTCAGGCGCACAACAGCGTGGTCACCCTCTGCCATCACAAGATGCCGTGACAGGAGTACCGACGGCATTCCCCATGTCGCACGTCACATCCCCGCGACTTACTTCTTTGTAACTGGAAGGTTCTGCTCTGGATCCCCCTCGGCCTCCCTGGGGCTCCCTGGGGACGCCGAGGCAGGTGCCAGGCGCGGTGTGAACGAGGTGCCCCCTGTCCGGCAGGAACCCGATCAGAAGCTCGGAGGGAGTGCGCCGCTCTGGGCCTCCTGCCTCCAGACCTCGCTGGCTGCCAGACGGCGGAATCCGCGCACTCGGGTGCTCGGGAAGCGAGGTGACCAGCTCTCCGGGGAAGGGACAGAAGAACACGTGCTGAGGGAAGGGGGCCAGGCAGGCTTCACGTTCAAAAGACCGTGGGAGGCGGGCGTTCGCGCCGTGGTTACGCCCCGTGGCGGGTCCGTGTTGTGAGCGGCTGCAGGCTGGGCAGGCGGCCTCCCCGAGGGCCCCCGGCCTCCTCCCTCTGTCCCCCGTCTTCTGTTCCTGGGGTTCCTCCTCATTCTGGTGGGGCGCATCCGGACACCCTCCCGAAGGGTGGAAGGGGCGGAAGTAGACAAGACACCCCCTGCTTCCCGGGACCCACCTCGCCTCCCTGGAGGTTGGGGGGGGGGGTCCCGGAAGAGGGCTTGCCACTGGGCTCAGGAGAAACTATCAGAGCAGCCTTCGGGGCCGATGGGGTCGCAGAAGACTTAGGAGGGGCAAGTCCCAGCCGGAAGAACTTCGTGAGACCTGGCTGGCCGGTGGGAACCCTTCAGAAAGCGGTGAATGGAAACCCCGGGCCCTCCGGGCAGGCTCAGATGGGGGCGCGTCCCATGCCGGTGTAGCCGCTCTTACTGCCCGGAGCCTGGACGCGAGGCCTGGGCGCCGGGCACCCTCCATGGAGCACGTGAGGTCTGAAGGGTTGGGGTTCAGACCCGGCAGCCAAGAAAGAATTCTTGAGAGGTCTTCCGTGCAAAAAGGTGGTTTCATTAAAGGACGGGGACAGGATCCGGGGGTAGAAAGGGCCTCCCTGGGGTCGTGGGGAGTGACTGGTTATAGAGTTGGGGGAGGTAAGGACAGAAGTTTCCAAAAGGACTTTCATATGTGAAACTCCCAGGATCCTGGAGGCCTGGCTATTGTCAAGCTAAGGTTGTTTTTCTCTAACAAAGCATTAACGTTAAGACGTTAAGGCGTTAAGGCAGGGAGTTCCTGGAGAAACGTTTTCCTCTGCCAGCTTCAGGTGTCCCTCAATGGGCTGCAGGTCATAAGGAAACTTAATTTTTTCTGCCATTTCCTTCTGCCTTTGTTCCCATTATCAGAGGATAGGCCAGCCGGCTCTGCCCAGGAGGAGGGGCCCCGCCCGCGGTCTGCTCTGCCCCTGCCCATGTGCTGCAGGGGTGGTGGGTGGGAAGGCGGTCTCAAATCAGTCCAAGCCATCATCTCCCCATCTCAAGGCTGGCGAGCGTTTGCGGTCGTAGGACAAGCACCTGGGCCCCACCCCTGGGCCCCACTGACAGTGTTTTTGGGCAGTTCGTTCCTGGGTTCCCCACCTTTAACTGCAAGGTGGGGTTTTACGGGTCCTCCCCGGGGGAGACCGAGTGAGCGGGGCCCCCCACGCCCCACCCGGGGACCCCGAGTCAGCACGTATCACGGAGGGGACACCCCGACAGGCGACTCACAACCCAGAAGTTCTGAAAACCAACCGCAGATAGTATTTTCCCAAACGAAATCCAAATGGTGCAAACGGCAGTGTGCCGCGTGAGCTCAGCCCCTCGGTGGGCAGCCCCAGAAGACACGTCCACTGTTCTCCGGAATCTAGAAACCACTTCTGCTTCTGCGGAGGATAGGTGGGCACATTCCTGACTGTCCCGGGGGTTAAACATTCACCCATTTCCTTAAATCTTTGACTCGTGAGGCTGGACAACAGGGTAGCGATTTCTTCGCCCCCACGGTATCCATTTAAAAAATCACTGAACTGAAATACATATGGATAAGCGATACATCGTCTCAGGTTCATTTCCCAGTAATCCATGGCGGGCAGTCTTGAGGGACGGACAGAGGGAATGAGACTGGCCACGAGCTCATCGGCGGAGAAGCCGGGTGCGGGCGTGTGGGGAGTCACCCTGTCTGGACCAGGTGACATTGCTGTGTTTGGACCAGGTGACGGTACATTGCTGTGTTTGAGCTGCAAAACAGCCGCTGCTTATGGTTTAACCAAGTACTGTTCTTCCATATGTATTCAAAAGTTTCCATAGGAAATCGCTAAATCACACATTTGTTTTTACCTCAGTGGCTACATCTTGCTCCATAGACCTTGACCTGCAACCCGACAGTCATTTCAACAGGCGGTTGTTTTTCACAACTGGAGAGTTCACAAGTGGCTCGCGCCTAGAGGCTTCTGATGCTAGTTGCTTGAATTCAAAGAAACGTTATCCATTATTTTAAAAAGCTTATCGTTGTTTCGAGTCATACTAGTTAATGGAGGCAGGACCTCTTACAGACCCAGGAGACACGACACAGAATTCCACTTCCTAACAAAGCAGCCAGTGGGATGTAGGGGGACAGAGGCTTTAGACTTAAGCCAGTCTTGGTTCGAATCCCCAGATGTCACTTGTTAGCTGTGTGACCAAGGGCAAGTTGCTTAACCTCTCTGGGCCTCAGTTTTCTCAAATATAAAAGGAAGATACTCTATTCCTCAGTTTTGATGTTTTAGTAAGACAATGTCTATAGTTCACCTTCCTCTGCATGCCCAACCCAGGCCACCGGGCAGAATGGCAAAGCCGTGACGTTTTGTGTTAAAGCACAGATACTCCAAACCTGTGCCCTGCAGAGCGTATGATGATAGTGGAAGCAAGTGAGTCCCTGTTTAATAAGCAAATCTAAGCTGGAAGCAAGGGTTGAAAGGTCTGCTCGTTACTTCAACATCGAAGTTCTTCGTGAGCTAAGAATCAAGGAGGCACCCGAAAGTCAGCAGACGTGAGGCAGGGCTCACGAAGCGTGTGTTGAATTAACACGAGAACTCGCATCCGGCGCTTAGAGCTGATCTGGTGTGGGCGCCACAGTCCAGGTGGGCACAAAGCAGTTTGTGCAGAACCCAGAGGGAGGGATTGGGAGGGGCTGCTTGGGAAGAGGCACTTTCGGCCCGGGGGGGGGGGGGGGGGGGTGTTCCAGGGAGCAGGGACATCCCAGCAGTGGTTCCATGTGAAAGAACAATGCGCCTCACTGGAGTGACAATAAACGTGGTCAGGGGAGGGGGCGGGACAGGGGCCAAAGCTGGTGTATCACAAAGGTCCCTGTGTTAACCTGAGAAGTGACACTGGCGACCCAACAATTACAGAAAGTGACGACTGATAGCTATTCCAGAGCAGGGATTTACTACTTGAAGAGTCAGAGGTGCAGAGAGAAAACGAGGACAAGGTCAGCATGTCCCCGAGGAGAGGTCAGGGAGGGTCAAGAGGGAAGGCAGGGACAGGTCAGCATGTAGAGATGGGACTTTAAAGGTCCTGCTTCTTCTTGGGCTGTGAGTCTGCTGACACGTTAAACCTCCGCCCTGGGCATGGGTTTTAGGATGGTAATGAGGGAGCGCGGGGGAGAGGTTGGCGCCGGGGTCCATCGAGGCACAGATGGGGTCGCCAGTCCCTGCTCGGCTTCCTTCCTACCACATGGGCTTCGCAGGCACCGGGTTTTTACGTTTTTCCCTCTTCCTCACGGAGCATCCGGGTCACGCACTGGATCTGGCGGCTGGGGCTGAGGGGACCCAGGTGCTGGCCCTGCTCTGTGTCAACAGGAAGAATTAGAGATCTGGAAGGGCGACGCTGTGTGACAGTGTGCGAGGCTGGAACGGGACAAGGCACCGCCACCAGGGCCGCGTCTGGGGAACTCTCAGAAACGCTCCTACGGAAGCAGGGCCTCACTGCCACTCGGAGACCAGAAGCCGCCTTCAAGACTCAGAGCGCGGGAGAGCAGGGTGGCGGGTGCAGAGCAGGTGCTGCTGGGACAGAGGGACCGACCCACGTTCGAGTTCCTCTGTCTTGCTGTGGTCTTCGGAGACGGAATATTCTGGGCCATGACAGAACGTGCACTACTGGCCTCCGTGGCTGAGAGCCCCAACCTGACAAGCCTCCCTCCTGCCCCGGGGCAAGGCTCACTCGGCTGCACAGTCATATCAACACCCAAGAGGGGAAACGGTCCAGGAGGCAACTTCTGTCTACCCGCCCTCAACGGCTCACCCTCTGCTCCTGGGAGCAAAGAACAGCACTGGCGCTCAGGCCAACTGAAATAACGCTCCCTCCCTCTTTACCTCAGTTTCTCACCAGCCATGGGATGGGGGGACAGAGTGTGCAAAGCACCAGGGGTCTCAAGGAAAACGGAGGAAAGGAAGGTCAACTCAGCCTTGGGCCCATGTGGCTGTTCGCGGCTAAGTAACCCCCACTTTCAGTACTGATGCTCTGTTCTTAATCTTCAGTTTCCTACTATTGAAAGTTTTAATTAAGAAAAACATTTTTAAATGTTTTTATTTTGAGAGACAGAGCATGAGTGGGGGGAGGGGCAGAGAGAGGAGGAGACAGAATCTGAAGCAGGCTCCAGGCTCTGAGCTGTCAGCACAGAGCCTGATGTGGGGCTCGAACTCACAAACCGTGAGATCATGACTTGAGCAGAAGTCGGACGCTCAACCGACTGAGCCACCCAGGTGCCCTCAAAATGTTTACTGTAAATCACATCAGATAAAGGATTGTGAATTATAGGGAAAATTGGGAAGATAGTTTAAATTCTTTGAGGTGAAGACACAGGAAAGAGCCCAGCACAGGGAGTGAGGACTTGCCACAGAGACCATGCGCCCCTGTGCTGGGCACTGGGTCCAGACCCTTTCCAGGCACCACCAGCCCAGGAGTAACCATCAGCCCGACTGCTAATGGCATCCGTGGCCGTGGCCTATTTGAACTTGATACGTTCCCGAGCAGGATGCGCGAGGTCCGGGATCCGAGAGCATCGCCTGTGTGGTTGCAGGGTCGCACCCCAGTGACTGGGACACCTCGAGCGGCCGCTCCACTGCTGACAGATGTCGGGGCTGTCCCTGGTTCTGGTCTGGGATGGACTCTGCCGCTGTTTGGTGAACACGTGCACACGTTTCCGTCGGGTAGACGTGCAGGAGTGAGTTGCCGGGTTATAGGCTCTTCACGTGTCCCGGCCTCGGTTTCCGTACGACAAAGTCAGATTTCTATGACCCGATGAATCCACGTCGAGTCCGCACGTGGAAGGGCCACGTGCCAGGCAGCAGTCTCCTCGCGATGGCCTCGTAAGACCGGAGAATTCACTTTCATTGGACGCGCCCCGGCACCAGGCCCTGGCTGGGTGAGGAGACCAGACGGGCAGGGAGCTCAGCGGCCGAGCCGGGGTGGGCGTCAGACGACTGCAAGGCTTGAATGTTTAGCTGCGTGTTTGTGTTTTTATACAAGTAAGTTGAAGATAAAAGGCAAATGTTGACCCTAGCGATTGGCACGGTTCTTACACATCTAGAGCAATGGGACCACGGACGGCGTCTGAGTGAGGAGGGCGCCAACTTAGGCTGCATCCGTGGCTTCTCAGCTTTGGAACACGAACAGGACAGTTTCCGAGTGAGGATCTCGTCCACTGTGTCCAAATGTGTTCAGTCCCCGAGTTCAGGCAGCAGAGCCTGGACGGCGAGACACCTGCCACGCAGACGCGTGTGTCAAAAACGCACAGTGTGATTAGGTAACTAATCGGGTAATTAGGTTACTCTGAGCTTTTGGAAATAAGATCCTCCTGCGGACACGACTTCGCGCGGTTGTGGCGATAACCTGCGAACGAAAGGGAACGCCCACCTGCTCCCCAGGGACACCGGCCCCAGGTCTGTTCTCAGTTCAAGTTGCTCCTTCCCTTCCGGCATTTCCATCCTGGCCTCCAGGGCTCAGCTGAGACCTCACTTTCTCAGAACTTCCCTGGCCCCGGTGTGGCCCGGCCGCCCGGCCCCAGCCCTCCTCTTACCGCGTCAGAGCTCTGCTCGCGCTGGTTCACAACTGCCTCTTTCCTGGTCTGAACACTGTGTTAACTAGGCCATTATTAGTCTGGCTGCTCTAACGGAGACCAAAATATAAATGGCTTAAGCCAGACAAAGGTCCAGTTCATCTGAGTCTGAGAAAACCACTCACAGGTGCCCAGAGACCTTGGCTTCTTACCCCTTGTGGCCCCGCTGCCTCCCAGAGTACCTGGTGCCACCAGGTACCTGGTGGAAGGGGTTTGTGATCACAGAGCACAGCCTGGCAAAGGGCAAGGGTGGCATTAAAAAGCCACACAGAATTTTCGTTTTCCAACACCAGTTGTGGTCTTTGGGGACGATCCCAGAGGCTCTGCTTACGGCCTCAGATCCAAGGCTTCCACGCAGGCTGCCCCAGGTGGGACAGGCCACGCAGGCCAGGCCGGGTCAGGTCAGGTCACTGTTCTCAGCACACCCTGTCACCAGAGGAAGAAGGGTGAACAGATCGTGGGGGGCCATCGCTGTTTGTGCCACACACACCAGCCTGGGCGAGGAGTTGAGGTCGTCAGCACCAAGCGTTCAGGGAGACCACGGAGCGTTTCCACATGAGGACAGGACAGAATTCCAGGTGTTTCTGAACACAGGACCGGGTCTTTCTCACAAGTGGACTAAAAGCTGGGCAGGTTTAACTAGAGAGCCATATTCGTGAACCAGCTCTGGACCTCACTTCTGTCTGATGAAATGGGGGCGGCATCTGCCCCCCGGCGTGAGCTGGGGACCAAGAACTCATGACCGTGTGCAGCCTGCACATCGTGCTTACGTGGTGGCACCTTTCCTTCCTTCCGGAGAAGCACTGGCAACACGCACTGTGACCCTAGAGGGTTGGTCTCCCGCCTAGTAAGAGCCTGCCGTCCACCCAGGCCCAGCTGTCGGTGAGGCTCAAGGACACGCGGCCTGTCCGGTCGCTCACGCTCAGGCTGAGCTCAACTACTGAAAGGAAGGGTGCTCAGACCTAACGTTCAAGTGCCACGAAAACCTTAGCCTTTTCTCATGATTTGCCAGCTGGCTCTCTCCTTCTATCTGGCTGCAAAAACAGTCGAACCTACTACTCAGATTTAGGGCCCCAAACCTTCCGGCCTCTAATAACTGCCCTTCATCCTTCGCCACCTCTAGCACATGATGCCGTTCCACTGCCCCGGTGTCCCGTCCCCTAGGGTCCCAGAGGGCTGTCCTCCCAGCGCCCTGCCCCACGCAACAGCACCTGCGGCAACTGTGGGAGGGGTCACGGCAGAGGTCGCCGTGCTTCTGCGGGCTCCTCAATAAAAAGGACGGTGTTTTATCTGCCTGGTGTGCTTTCCTGGTGTATTTCCTCCACTTCATCAAGTCCATTCTTAAAAGTAGCATAAACATTTCTGGAGCATGAAGGAGAGACTCTGGGAGGGGCTACAGCCGCGGACCCCACCGTGGGGAGCGCGGTAACCGGGGTGTAGCAGAAACACAGCACAGAGTGGGGCTTTCAGGACGGAGCAGTGACCTGTGGAAGCCTCAGAGGGGCTGTGGAAGGAGGACAATCTGGACGCCACGGGGACACAGCTGAGTCTGATGAGGAAGGAGACACTCACCTGGTCTCCAGCACCTTCCGCAGGAGGGCACAGCTGGGGCAGCTGGAGATCTGGAAGGGGCCTGAGGCCACGGGACAGCGGGTCCCACGGCTGCTTTCTCGGTTGTGGGGGTGTCCTGGCGGCAGGAAACAAAGTATCTGGGGGTGACGCGGCCTCAGGTTGGCAACGTACCTCAGACGGCTCACGGGAGAAAAGCTCTTTTTGCTGTGATTGCAACTTCTCCGCAGCACAGTTGAGAACGGTTCAAAATAAACGTTTTATTTAAAAAAAGTTATCAGTGATTTTATTTCAGCAGTTAAACGTGTTTTACTTAAAGAGAGGGGAGGGTGTTCCCACGCGCGGCTGGTGGATGGGAAGCGTCTTCAGCTCGGAACGGGCCGCCACCCGCGTCAGGTCGGAAGGGGGGTCACCGGCCGAGGGACCGCTGCAGGGCTTCGTACATCACCTGGTCCTGAGAACAGGGGACAAGACACAGAGCTGGTGAGCGTGAGGTGGGCCGAGCCGTGCCCCCGAAACGCGTATGCGGATATCCCAGCCCCCCAGGGCCTCACGTGACCGTGACTGGAGAAAAGATCTTTAGGGAGGCGATTACGTTCAATCGAAGCCCCCGGGACGGGCTCTAAGCCAGCACGACCGGTGTCGCTGCGAGAAGAGGGGCGAAGACCAGACAGGTGCGGGGACACCGTGTGAGGACGCCCAGTCTCCGGGCCGAGGAAGGAGCCGCCTGCTCGGTGCGCGGCCCGCCCCACGTGCCCCCCTTCCACGGGGACAGAGGTTCGCCGTAAAAGTCGGGTGACAAGCTGCTTACGGCTCTATCCACGCAGCAAAGAAAGCCGGATTCTAAAGTGTTCTGAGCGTGGCCGGGAAGGGGACAGAAGCACCTGCAGGAAGCTGCTGGGGCAGCTCCACGTTAAAGGCTGCCTTCAGGGGGATGCCCCGTGGGGTCTCGCCGGGGCCACACACGCATCTAAGGTCTGGGGAAGCGGCTCGACCGCTGCTTGTTTAGGCCGAGGCAGGGCGTGCTTGTGTTTGAGCCCTCGAACACCTGTTTTTAAAATCCGATGTCGTTCTTCTTTGGATCATATGCCGAGAATGCCTGGGGTTAGGGACGACATGACGCGGTCGCAAGTGAATAAGCCCCCCTCCGTGCGGCGCTGTTAAGGTCTTCCTTCTGGCAACCTGGCTTGGGCCTTACGCTTCGTTTCGTGTTTGGCCTGACGGCAGCAAAGAGCATTCCCCTCTTCCAGCAGCGTTTGAAGACACTCGATGCCTGGGTGACTCAGTCGGTTGGCGGTGACCCCGACTCAGGTCTTGATCTCAGTACCGAGTTCGAGCCCCATCCGAGACTCATGCTGACAGCTTCCAGGCCCTGGGCCTGCTTCAAAGAATTCTGTCTCTCTCTCTGGCCTCCCACATTCGTAACAATACTCTCTGTCACCAAAAATAAATAATAAAACATTAAAAAAAAAAAAAAAAGACACCTCCTCTGAGTTGTTGATCGAAACCTCACAATGAGGCCAAGTCCCCAGTCGCTCGCTGTCGTGAGTGCTTCCAGGGGAAGTTCCCAGAGCCGCCGGGCCAGCCGCAGCGGGAATCCGGTTCAGTCCCGGGAAAGGGCTGTGCCCCCCATCTCCTCGTATCCCGGCCAACAGGCATCATCAGGTTCGGAGACCTTTGCCTGCTGCCAGGCAAAGACTAGTATCTTAGTTGCTTTTCTTCCATTATCAGTAAGGTGAGGAGTTTTCCGTTTGACGAGCCCGTTGGCTTTTCCGTGAAGGGTCTGTCCCTGTTCTTCACCTAGAGCCTCTTTTCCAACATTTTCTGTGTCGGTCTTTTCCTCATCAATTTCTGGTCGTTCTGATTCACCCTTGGTGACATTAACTGCAAATATTTTCCTTATTTGGTCATTTGTCTTTTGACGAGTTTCTTAGCGCAGAAATTTTTATCCTCGTGTGTCAGATTCTGAGTCTTTCATTTATGTTGCCGGGTTTCGCGCTGACAGGAAACAAGGCACGCCCCGCTTGAACTTCCAGACAAATCTCTGGTCTCCTCCTACTTTGATGGTTTCAGATTTTACTTTTAAACTCTCCCGCCGCCCCCCGCCCCCCGCCCCCGTCCCCCACCTGCAGTGTGACGTGCGAGTCCGACTTGAACTTCTGGAGACGGCTTCCCAGCTGCCCCGACATCGACCACCGTGTTTCCAACACTGGTGTGGGGGACACTGTTATGTACTGTATACTACGATCAGTTCCTGTGCCATTATCACAATGTGCTAATCACTGAGGCTTGTGTTTTTTAGGCCCCGCCCCCAGCTTGTCCGTTCTGCAGTTTCCCCAACTGTTCCAGTTTGCTTGGTTTTCCACATGCTCTTTGAATCGTTCTGGTTTGGTCCCCAAAACAAAACGAGCAAAAATGAAAACAAAGACCAAAGAGTAGGGCCACTGAAATGGTTTCAAACAGTAACAAATGGCCTCAGCACTGACGTGTCTGCCGGCCTGCTTGGGGAACCTCTGCCAAAGGGACGTGGACGTCCCGGCTTCCGGCAGGCACGAGGACAGGGCTGCTGAGAGGCGCGCAGAAATGCAGCTACGCTCACAGAAGCAGCCACGCACGGCAGGCTCTTCAGCACGTATGAGGTTTCTGACCTTTTACGAGTGAGTTTACAACCATTATCTTTTTCTGAGGACAGCCCTGAGTCAGATAAAGGCAGAACGGATGTTCTCTCTAGGCAACGACTCAGAGCCCTGAAACAGAGGGCAGGGCGGATTTTCCACTCAAGAAGGAAACCCATTTCCTGGACTGTACTCAATGTTTACCCCGGTTTGAGAGGCGGATTTGAAAAAACTAGTCTATGTACTTACTTGACTCATTTTTCCAAGTACCTCTCAAACGGTTTCAAAGGTAAACATAGAGTAGGTATTAGTGAAATGCCCAATTAACTTTGAAATAGGATAAAGAAAGGGTCCTTGTATACCAATATCACTGCTAAATCATAAACAGTAAAGACATTTTAAGCATGCTTTGTTTATAACCAGGTTAAAACAATTCCTTTTTCTGCAGTAAAATAATTTTAAAATTCTAAAACATGATTTATTGGAGAAATATTAGAAAATATAGATCAGCAAAACAAAAAACAAACAAACAAAAAAACTCATTTCCAGAGGTAACTACTATTATTTTGGTCTTCCAGAACTTTTAAATTACTATTTTGTCAATTTTGAATTCTTTTGAATAGGTGGTGCATTCTCAAGGTTCAAAGTTCAAAGAGGAGAAAAGGTGAACTTTTACACCCCTGTCCCCCTCCCCCACCAGTCTCTCCCTACCAGCAGCTGTCACCCGTTTCCTAAGTAGCTGTCTCATGAGGGCCAGTTAATCTGCCGAACAAGGAGGGGGCTGCCTTCACCCTGATGTTATGCCTCCTTTTTAAAAGATCAAACAAATTAAAAATCAGTTTGGTCATCTGCTTTATTTAGTATTTATTCAAAATTCATACTATGCCTACCTCCAAAAGAGAAGCTGTAGCTTCTTATTCACCAAGTTTTCCAGAAATCAAATATTTAAAGTTTAAAAATTTATGATCACCACAAATATTAAACAGAATAAAACAGTACAGAGTCTCACCAGCCCATACATGTAGCCTTCCACGGATGTTCCTAAGAGAATAAAAAAATTCTACAAGGTCTGGAATGATAGGTTCAGGTGTTTTTAATAAAATCAGTCACACCGCCTTTGTCATGCGGCCGAGACCCTTTAAGCAAAGGCTGCACGCGAAGCACCTGCGACGTGGATGGAACTAAGGGGCCAGGTTAGTCCGTGTTCTGTGCACAGGGGCCCCGTCTTCTGCAACTTCTGCATCTGCGAGCCCAGCACAGGGCCTGCGCACGTGCAGAGCTTCGCGATCAAGGTTGAAATCTGGATCTCAGGCAAGCTGTTAAAACACATCTAGGGGAGAAGGGACTCTGACTTGAAACGTTTTTCTCTCAAGTGTCAGTGCGGTAGAAATAATCAGGGAAATGAGTGACCCATGTACTCCTGAGTGTGAAGAAGAGAATCAAAGAGCCACGGCCACGACTTCGATGAGCTAATAAGCAGTTTCGTGGTGTGGCTTTCATAGAGGAAAGAAAGAAAATCAGACCGTATGTTTGAGTGAGGTTTCCTTCCTGATGGTGGAACAGTGCCAGAGCAAGCAGAGTAAAAAGACTATCCTCTGAGGTAATAAATATCTGGGGAAAGAACCTCAAGGCCTCAACATTTATCAACGGCTAACTGGGTCTCCGGTCTCTGGTGAGCAGTGAAACCTGCACAGTGGTTATGCTGTGCTGGCCCATGAAGCGACACAGCCTAGACACAGGGCTCTGAATTCTGAGACGCGGCTGGCGGACGGCCGTCTTGTCGGGTGTCTGTCCTCATAGGGTGACGACCCATTAGGTCCTCTCAGCACAAAACAGGACCTGGTGGCCCGGGCAGGGATCTTTGGAGGAGGGAGCGAGGACAAGCAGGGATGGGGAAAAGGAAGGTCTGCTCACTGCCGTCACCACCCACCCTCAATCAGTTACCGAGGGTTTCCTGGGTCGGGTGACACACTGCTACGTTTGGCCTCCGAACTATGTCCGCCAATTAAGTGCGGACACGGAGTCCACCTGACGTGCTGTCGCTGCCCAACTCCAAATGAAGAATCATGTGGTGCCAGGGAGGAAAGCGCTCTAAGGTAAGAAACGGCGCCAGCTGGCAGGCAGGTGCACCCGGCTTAAGAACGTGCTGGATATTTCCGGACTAGAATGACCGGCCCTGCAGATTTGGGGACAGTACGGGCACACCTTTCTTCTTGGATGTCTCCCGACCATTTATTCAGTGTTAATGCGTCTCAAAGCGATTGCCACTTCTGTAAGTACGTCTTCAGGCTAAAACGTGATGCGTTCCTTTTGCATTTAACAAAATCTGGTGATTCTTTTTCAGCGTGAAAAGATGACTCAAAATCCCAACCCAGCCACTAACAAGTCAATTAACTTGAGTACCAGAATCCTATCTACAGATTTTCATTCTAGGTCTTGAAGTCATGACCTTTATAAAAACTCTGTGGCCCTCACAACCCAGCCTGGCCAGAGTATCTAATTTCCTAACTGGCCACACTGGTTGGTTCTGGCGTGGAGTCCTAAACTGGGCTGGGCCGACCGCAGACTCCCCTGACACTCTCCCACCAGAGCCGGCAGGGAATTCTCTTGCTGGGGGGTGTCTGGGGCTGCAGGCAACCAGCTTCCCCCAGGAAACCCGTAACGAGGTTCCACAGCCAGCGTGCCCAATGCCAACCGTGCTCTCACGACCCTTGCTATGTGGACGAGTTCTGTTTCCCCCACTTATCTTAGCTGGATTGGGTTTCCATCATTTACAACCAAAAGAGCCCTAATATTAAAAGCAGAAAGAGGTGGCTTATAAATGGGCCACTCAGTTTCACATGCAGAAAAGCATCACCACCAATGCCAAACCTTTCTTTTGGTTTGATTTTATTTCCTTTCGGTTTGGCTTCTGAAATGGATTGTGTGACTCTGCCTGTGCCTCGAATTTCAATGGAACTGTCCTTAACCAGAAGGAAGACGTTCTTCGCCACCACCCAGAACTGAGAAGACCAAGAAAAAAGAAGGAACGGAGACCCCTCCAATAAACATAATATACACTGGTTTCAAATTCACCAGCAAAAGTATTATACAAAGGTGGTAAAGCAGACTTAATCCTTAATTATCATAAAAAACACGGGCAAATTTAGGAATCAGGTCAAGCAATTATCGAGCTTTGGATCACACATTTGTGGCTATTAGTAATAAAATCGCTTGAGCAACAAACATGGAAACTTCAAAATTACAGCAGAAATTTAATCTAGAAAATTGATCTTTTTGGAGGCAAAACAAGTAAGAGAATGACAAATGAACCAGCCAAGGTCAATATATAAAAACGATTAGAAAACAAAATGAAAAACATTGACAAACAACATAAAAAAGTATAAGTTATTTGGGAATGCAGTTGATGAAAGATGTGTAAGATATTTCCACCAAAACTCACAACATTACTGAATAAATCAGGTGGATCTTATAAGTGAAATGAATTAAAAAATGAATAAACTCTGAGAAATTAAATGAATCTAAATAAATGGACAGGTGTACTAAGTTTATTAATTTTTAACTTCTGCTCTCACAGCTGATATACAGATTCAGTCTCATTCAAAATCCCAACAAGCTTCTTTTTCAGGAAGCGATTAGCTGATTATAAACTTTATATGGAAACGCAAAGGGCCTAAAATAAACAAAACAATTTTGGGGGGGAAAAGGGACAGATTTGGAGAATTTATACTACCCGATTTTGAGACTTATATATCTATAATAGTCAAGACTGTGGTAAGAAAGAGACAGCAGCATAAAGTCAGACGTAAAGACCAATGGAACAGCACAGAAAGAGATTCTTGCATTTACAGTCAATGGGTTTTCAAACAGATGGTGCGGTAATTCAGTAGGAAAGTTTTTCCCACAGTCAGGTCAGAGTCAGTAGGCAGCTGCGTGGAAAAACATAACCATGACCCCTAAGTCGCATCAAACTAAAACAGTAATTTGAAATGGATCACAGGCCTAAACGTAAAGGCTAAACCTATTACGCGTCTAGAAAAAAACAAAGGAGAGAATCTTTGCAAACTTGAAATAGCCCAGACTTCTTATGACAGAACACATAATACGTCAGCCTTCATCTAAATTAAAAGCTCCTGCATGATTTTGGCTCAGGTCACGATCTCTCATTCCGTGGTTCAAGCCCCGCGTCGGGCTCTGTGCTGACAGCTCAGAGCCCGGAGCCTGCTTCGGATTCTGTGTCTCCTCTCTGCCCCTCCCCTGCTCCTGCTGTGTCTTCCAAAAATAAATAAATGTTAAACAAAATTTTATATAAAAAAATAATAAAAGCTCCTGCTCTTTAGAAAGTTATCCTCTGTGTGCCCATCTGATAAAAGCCTTCAATCCAGACTAAGGTAAGAATTTGTACATTTATAATAAGGAGAGAAACAACTCAAGTTTTTAGGGGCAAGGCACAAGGACAGGAAACAAGAAATCCAACTGACCGGCAAGCATGTGAGAATATGCTCACCTTCCCGGTTGTTCGGGAAATGCCCCCTTAAACTACATGGGACACTGGTTCACGTCCCTCGGACGGCTGACATTAAAGGACAGTCACACTCTGGTGTTCGTGAGCCCGTGGAGAAGCAGAAGCCCTCACCAAGCGCGGGTGGAGCAGCCCGCGTGCGAGACCCAGCCAGGCCCGTCTGGGTGCTTACCACGAGAAGTGAAGACCCGTCCCCCCTCCACACGTTCAAGGGACCTTTATTCATAAAAGCCAGACCCCGGAAACGGCTGAGCGTCCCCCAGCAGGAGAAAGGACGAGACACTGTGGTACATTCTTACCCTGGGAAACCGCTCTGCAGGAGGAAGGACCAAACTCCAGACGCACAACACCGTGCACCTCAGAGACATCGCGCTGAGCAAAGAAGCCGGACGCGCCGAGTGCGCCACACAGCTCCACGTGTGCCAAGTCCTCAGAGGGAAGAAGTCAGAGCGGGAAGACGGGTCAGGCCTGGGGTCGCCCGGAACACCGGCCTCCACGGACGCCCCAGGACCTCCTGCGGGCACGGAGGGTCCTGGCGCTGGCCACAGCTGTCGCACGTGGCAGGACTGTGCTCTGCTCCACTGCGGCGCGTCAACTACATTTCAACTGAAAAGAGGGAGGCTAGAAGGACCGGCAAATGTGGGGCCACGTCCACATCTAACCGCTGGAAAGGCCCCAGACTCCCACTGCAGGTGAGAAATCATTTCAGCCGAAACAATCTTTTGCTGACGAAATCTTTGGGGGCTTACATCACTAGTCTCTTGTTGATTAGCAGGAAAAGCCCCAGGACTATGAACTGTCAAACTGTCCCCAGTTTTAATCGAGAAGACAGTGTTTTTTTTAACGTTTATTTATTTATTTATTTATTTATTTTTTAATTTTTTTTTTTCAACGTTTATTTATTTTTGGGACAGAGAGAGACAGAGCATGAACGGGCGAGGGGCAGAGAGAGAGGGAGACACAGAATCGGAAACAGGCTCCAGGCTCTGAGCCATCAGCCCAGAGCCCGACGCGGGGCTCGAACTCACGGACCGCGAGATCGTGACCTGGCTGAAGTCGGACGCTTAACCGACTGCGCCACCCAGGCGCCCCAACGTTTATGTATTTTTGAGAGAGAGAGAGAGAGAGACAGAGCATGAATGGGGGAGGGGCAGAGAGAGGGAGACACAGAATCGGAAGCAGGCTCCAGGCTCTGAGCCATCAGCCCAGAGCCCGATGCGGGGCTGGAACTCACAGACCGCGAGATCGTGACCTGAGCTGAAAGTCGGACGCTTAACCGACTGAGCCACCCAGGCGCCCCCAAGAAGACAGTGTTTTACAAGAAGATGCTCAGGGGAACGAGCACACATCCCCGTGGCCGACAAAATGCCCGGGAGGGGAAGGCAGACGGTTGTTTCTCCACAGACGGGGAGGACTCAGTCCCGGTGCAGCGGACTCTCGCTCGACTGCAGCCGGAAAAGCAGTCGGTCACATGCCTAAAAGATCCCACCGGCCCACACCAATGAACCGGTTGTTGTAGTTAACAGTGGTAAGGCTGGGGGCTCCTGGCGGGCTCAGTCGCTAGGACGTGCGACTCTTGGTCTCGGGGTTGTGAGTTTGAGCTCCACGATGGGTGTAGCCATCACTTAACAATGAAATCTTTACAGAATAACTACACGTGGGAAGGTGGCCACCTCACCGAGAATGTTCAGAACAAGCCCGGAGGCTCTGGGACAGGGCAGCCCATCACCTGTAACCGCTAGGACTTTGACTCCCCATTTTCGATCAGTACAGTGGGAAACACCAGGCCTAGGGTAATAAATGGCTAATGATTTAAAGGAAGTTTGAGTCCAGCAATAAGCAGGTCTCATGGCTAAGGCATACAACACTCGTTAAAAGGACATAAAAGACATGAAAGTGAATCAGACCAATGATGACGGAACCCGAGATAGAGGCTTCCTAGGGTTGGCCCTGAGTCACCGCAGCCACCCGAGTTACTATAGACGGGTCACCTTGGCACAGTAAGAGGCAAACACACAAAATCTGGTGTTTTATGTAAAGAAATGTCAGCCATTTCCTTTAGCCCTTCGCCAGCCTTCCGCAAGGACATTTGCACCGGCCTGGACACCAGGGCGAGTCTGGCTCCAGGCAGATAAAAGGCTGCCTGCAAGGGTGGAGAAGCTCAGATAACTGGTGAACCAGACTGATTAGAAATCCCAAGAGGGTGGAGACAGACACGAGGGGTCATTCCCTTCTGGCTTCAGTCTTCCAAGAAATACAAAAAACTACAATCTCTCAAGAATGTTCTCACAAAGGCAATTATTCTCCTTGTCATGAGCTACCGGTCTTGATTCCAGTCTCTTTTCTGTGCACATTTTGAGAGCATTTCTTACCTTTTTTGATATAGATGATTTTACTTTCTTGAAAGCTTCTTCAAAGTGCTTCTGACTGACCTTGAGCTCACCTGTGGGGCAGACGCACAGACACACGGGTGGGTACAGTGTGCTCACTTCCCATCGGTCAAGGGAATGTGGGGAAATGAGCGATCACATTGCTTCTGCTTTTTTTCAGAATGATTCAAGCCTGAAACAGTCTGCTTATCACATTTTCTGGACATTTTCTCATTTTCATTTAATTTACACACACCTGACCATATTTAATCTTACACACAAGTGCTTAAGCTTTATATCGGTGTCTATCGAGGCAATCAAAACAGTTTATTTCGGGACAAATTATATAAAAAAGTACTTTGCTCACCTTTAATTAGAGATTCTTACACTTTGAGAAAAACGAAAGTCCGTGATTTCATTACCCGCCCCCCACTGTTTACCGAGCTATTATTAACATCTAACACACGTTAAGTTTAAGGTGCGCCGTGTGATGGTCCGATACACGCACCTACATGTGGGAAAGTGCCCACCACCACAAGGTTAGTTAACACCTCCCTCCCCTCACACAATCACTTTGTGTATGTGTGGTAATAACTTCGAAGATTTACTGGCTTAACATCTTTCAGATACATAATCCATATTGCTAATTGTAGTCATCACGCAATACATCTGCTCCCCAGAACCTGCTCATCTTCCAGCAGGAAGTCTGTACCCTTTGACCAACGTCTCACCATTTCTCCTACCTTGTGCTCATCAGATTTTACTGGATACCCCGAAGAGACATCACATACCCTGTGGGGGGCCCTCCTTTAACACTGTTTACCCCTGAATGGTGATATTTAATGAAGAATAACTAGAACTGTTCTTTAAAAACATTTTTTTCTTGGTGTTTATTCATTTTTTGAGAGAGACAGCGTGCGAGTGGGGGAGGGGCAGAGAGTGAGGAAGACACGAAATCTGAAACAGGCTCCAGGCTCTGAGCTGTCAGCACAGAACCTGATGTGGGGCTTGAACTCATGAACCGTGAGATCATGACCTGAGCCGAAGTCAGATGCTTAACCAACTGAGCCACCCAGGCACCCCCGGAACTGTTCTTTTTTAAGATAAATTCCAATAATTTAACTAGGAACAGACAGTATTATTCCATGGTAGTTACGAGTCCATGGAGCACCTGGGCGTCTCAGTCAGTTAAGCATCTGACTCTGGCTTAGGTCATGATCTCATAGTTTGTGAATTCAAGCCCTGCAATGGGCTCTGCACTCATAGTGCAGAGTCTGTTTGGGATTCTCTCTCTCTCTCCCCCTGTCCCCAACTCCAGCTCTCTATCTCAAAACAAACAAAAAGAGCCCATACGTGTAATTAGATGTTATGGAATTATAATATATATATAATGTACAAAGATAATAACACAACAATGGGTTACAAGGAGCTCTGATTCTTTTTAAAATTTTTTTACAATTTTATTTTAGGGGGCGCCTGGGTGGCTCAGGCAATTGAATGTCCAACTCTTGGTTTTGGCTCACGTCATGATCTCATGGTTTCGTGAGTTTGAGCCCCATGTTTGGTCCTGCGCTGGCAATGTGGAGTCTGCTTGGGATTCTTTCTCTCTCCCCTTCTGCCTCTCCCCTGCTCACACCGTCTCTCTCTCTCTCAAAATAAACTTTAAAAAAATAATTAAAAAAATTTTATTTTAAAGAGAGATGAGTAAGCGAGAGAGAGGGGCAGAGGCAGACAGAAAATCCCAAGCAGGTTCCATGTCCAGTGCAGAGCCCGATGCAGGGCTCAATCCCACGACCACGAGATTGTGACCTGAGCTGAAAACAAAATGTGTAGTCGAAGGCATCAGTCAGCAAGAGACCCGTTCAGAGTCCCTGGAGGACAGGGAACTAGAAATGCTAAGTGCAGCAGGGCAGGGGCATCAGAATGTGCTGAACAATCACCAAGTCACGTCCAAACAGCATTATTAGTAGTAGCGGCCCATATGTGGAGAGAGGCCTGTAAATTTCCAGCGAGAAATCCTTAAACGCTGTCAGACTCGGCTCTCAGGCAGCACACTCACATGTCGTTCCTCTCAAGATACCCTAATTTTGCAAGTTACATCACCTACTTCCGAGAGGAATTTGAAACAGCTTATGATAAAAGAAGTTCAGGTGCCTGAATCCGACAATTAAACAACAAAAATTATGGAGTGGGTGGTGGGTGCTGATGAATGTGACCCACACAGATGCTGGGTGACGAGGAACAAAAGTTAGTTCGGAGACTCTCGGTAGCCAGAGGAAAGAAGGGAGGAGAAGAAAGAGAAAATCAGTAGGAATAAAAAAAGACAAGTTTTGGAAATGCACGGAACAAAAGATCAATATGGACTTGACCAGCAGATGAAGTGAGGTGCGTGTGAGGGTCCGTGGGACTCGGGAGAGCGCGGCCACGAATCGCAGGCGACCAGGCAAATGTGGCAGAAACCAGGCGAGGTGTGGGCTCCTGGACAGGCCCCCGCAGAACATCAGTGCTAACATCACAGATAAGAGCTGCCATGACAGGGCCACTTTCCGGGTCAGTAGTGGCTTTAGGCGATACGGGGCGCTAAGTAAGTGGAACTGAGAAATTCTGGAATGAACGGTACCTTTCTTGCTCCCACTCTTTGGTTCTGCCATTTCCTGTCTCAGAGCACAGACAGAAGCTTCTCGTACCAAAGCAGAGAGGTCCGCACCCCTGCGAAAACATAACCATACTCGCTGATTTATTCTTAGACACTGCAAAGAACAGAAAGAAGTCTGACAGCAATTTTCAGTCACATATTACACAATTAGGAAAGAAACCAACCGATAAAGGTGGGGTAAACAGATGATGGTCAGTAGGAAAGAGCTTCTCACTTTTACTTAAAATATTTCTAACTTTTAGAAGAAGGGTAATTACGATGCAAATAAAGCAATGAATCGTAACTACTCCAATGCTAATAGCAATAGATACTGTTAATGCAAAAAGTGAATCGCCGAGTCAAGAGAAAGAAACTGACACATTTGTCGTAAAATCTTCATTCACAAGGCCTAGGCTGCCGACAAGCTGACCGCCCACACGCTCGCTACCTGACATCTCGAGTAAGCTCAGATAACAAGTCATTTATGGCACCTAGTTCAAAATAGGGAAACACAAAGGCTAGAAAGTCTTTAATACCCTTGATTCAAGCCTGAGCTGAGTGGACCTATCATAAAGGGGCTAAAACAGGAAAACCAGCAAGCCTTCACATAATTATTCTGGGCAATAAATAATACGCCGTGTCAACATGGTTCCTGAGTTCAGCGGAAAATGCTGGTGCTGACTGGTGCTTCACCACATTACATCTTAAACAGAATTCCTGCAGCCCTTCGGGAAAGAGTTTGAATCTGGGGGAAATACCTCATTTCTAGCCATTAAACCTATTTAACGTCTGAAGTTGATAACCCCGATAATATATAAAATTTAAATGCCCACAGAGCTTACCTTGTGAAGTGAATCCAATGTTTCTGCGGTTAGGTGCTGGTTTACAATGCTATTTAATAATTACACACACACACTTGGGTGTTCACTGCTCTCCTTAACACTGAAACCCCTTACACAGGTGTGGAGGCGTCTTTATCACAAACGAGTAGCTGAAGCCTAGAATTATTGGTCTCTCAAAGCGATTACAGGAGCATAAACCCTAAGCACACACCGTTCAACGTTAACCCTGACCCTTTATAATGCACACCCTACGCTGTGTAACCCAAGGATGTGGCCCGGGCTTAGCTCTGCTGTGACACGGCCTTTGCTGTGAACGGAACATCTTTTCAGATGTTAGCGCTTGAAGCTGTAAACTACTCACTTAAGCCTTTGCCCCGTTAACAGTAACTTCCCAAGAGGGCTGGGGTGAGGTGGAGACACTCTCCTTACAGGGTGGGAGGGACGTTCACACGCTGTCACCACAGTGCTCTGATCACGTCCTGTCATCCGGACAACCCCTGCACCTCGGGGTTCCTCGGGGCCTCAAAATGGGTGGTCCCTTCACTAAGAAGGAAGAGGCCGACAGAGGGGTTTCACCCCTGACTCAGTGCTCCCCGCAAGACCACTCTGCCTCATTTCGCCCCTGAGGAAACGGAGCCTGGGAGACATAACGGGCCCGAGACCCGGGTACTCACGAATAGCAGTCACAGCGAAGGTCCCCAGCAAGGGCTTCCAAACTGACATCTGCGGCCAGTGGGGGTTTGGTGCCGTTCTAAGAGAGAAAACACCAGCTTCCAGTGAGGCTTTCGAGAGCAGTACCTTTCCACATTCTAGGCTCTTAGTAAACAGTCACGGCCGCTGGACTAAACGAGTATCACTGACCAGTTTGGGCAGAATTTAAAAAATTTCAGTTTCGAGAAGAAGGTTAAGAAGCAGATGCCAACACAGACGAAACAAAAGCAAACGACTGATGCCTGGGACGTCCAAAGAAAGCGTGCAGCCACAGCAGGAACAAAACCCGCCCCCCGAAGCTGTCCAGAAGGGAGGAACACCTCCCCTTGGCAGGTTACACGTGGTGGACACTTGGGCAGTGCTCCGCTGTGACGCGGGACAGGCCGGGAAGGCGGAGCGGCTCAGAACTTGACCAGGGACGACGACACAGCCCTTTGGGCTCCGCGTATGCTTTCGGAGGCCTTATCTGAACCTCGATCCAGACTTTGGTGCCAAGGCCCCTCCGGCTTACACACCGAGGGAGGCCGGAGAGGACGAGCGTCAGAATACGCCCCGCGGCACCTTGCGTGCGCACACTGCGGATTTGGTGACATTTCAGTGACTGAAACCGCAGAGGCAAACAAAACAGTTTCTAGTGAGTTAAGATGCATGACCTGGTCAGAGGGTAGGTATCTGCTTTACTATCCTGACTCACAACTTACATACACTGCAGGCGGTCTTTCCGTTGTAGCAAACGCTATGTTAGAACACACAGGAAATAAGTGAGTAAACACGCCACTCAGCCTCAAGGTGAGTATTAGGTATCAACGCGGCAGGCGCCCAGAGCAGAGGTTGCCGCCAGACGGCCGGGCTCTGCACGCAGACGTCCGGTGTCTTATCACTTCTTCCCAGCTCGGCCTGCGTAAGGATTTCACAAACTATACAACTGCGAGCTGCTATTATTTGATAAAACACAGATGCTCATCTAACATAGGTTCAAGAAACAGTTGTGTTTCCCGCTCGATGCACTCTGATCCGGGAAGTCCTCACGGGGAATAAACTCCAGGGGACCTCAGGCAAACAATCTTGGTGCTTTTTTCTGTTTTCCCTCCAGTTGTGTGTAAACTAGACGGCCAGACGGCACGATCTCCTCTATTGCACAGGTTTTCCGTTTAGTCGGTTAACCGTGGGCACAGGTGGTGGCAGCAGGGGTAGCACAGCTTCTGTGGCTCTGGTGGTCACCTCTTCTCTTACTGTGGTAAAATGTACTTAACAAAATTGATCATTTTAACCATTTTTAGTGTAGGGAGCACGTCTGTGGTACTGTGCAGCCATCCATGTCTACGGCTGTCTTCATCGTCCCCAAATGAAACTTCGGCCGCACTAACCACTGACCCTCCCGTACCCCCTCTCTGGCCCCGGCAACACCACTCTATGGATGTAATTGCTAACGTTCATGTACTTTTTGAAAAAGATTGTATTTAATTTTTAAAAAATTCTCTGAGCAGACAAAACCAGTCTCATCATACAAATGTTAATTTGCAAGACTAACTTGACCTGGGTAATGTCTTGCTCATACCTCTGAAAATAAAATTATTTTTTTCTAAAAAAAATTTTTTTTAATGTTTATTTATTTTGAGAGGCAGGGGGAGGGAGAGAAAGCGCACAAGCAGGGGAGGAGCAGAGACAGAGAGGGGGAGAGAGAATCCCAAGTAGGCTCTGCGCTGTCAGCACAGAGCCCAATGTGGCGATCGATCGCATGAACCTTGAGGCCATGACCGGAGCTAAAATCAAGTCAGATTATGAACAGATGGAGCCACCCAGGTGCCCCAAGACTTCGCTTTTAAGTAGTCCCTACACCCGTGGGAGGTGAACCCACAACCTTGAGATCAAGTGCCACATGTTCCACTGACTGAACCGGCCAGGTGTCCCTAAATGTTCCCGTTCTTGATCTGGAGGTTTTGTTTACAAAGACTCTTACAGTGGGCATATAACGATATGTCCACTTTTCTGTATGTGTATTGTACTTCATTAAAAAGGTCTAAAAAGAAAAAATAACTTTGGACCAGGAATTAAGAAATCTGAGTTCTGCAGGTCAAGTCTGCAGCTGAATGAAGCTTTGGAAGTTCCTAAATCTTTGTTATTTATTTTGGTAATAAAAAAACTAGTATCTATGTATTCTAAAAAGCAGAAAAGGATGGAAAATTTCCAAATTCATTCTATGAGGCCAGCATTATCCTGATACCAAAGCCAGATAAAGACACCACAAAAGAGAACTACAGGCCAATATCCTGATGAATATAGACGCAAAAATTCTCAATAAAATACTCGCAAACCGGGGTGCCTGGGTGGCTCAGTGGGTGAAGCATCCGACTCTCGATTTCGCTTCAGGTCATGATCTCGTGGTTCCTGAGTCTGAGCCCCGTGACAGGCTCTGTGCTGACAGCTCAGAGCCTGGAGCCTGCTTGGGATTCTGTGTCTCCCCCTCTCTCTTCCCCTCCCCTCCCCTGCTCTCTCTCTCTCTCTCTCTCTCTCAAAATAAACACACAAACGTTAAAAAGGTTTTGTAGATCAATATGATACATTACACCAGCAATGGATAAAAAGGGTAAAACCATATGATCCTTTCAATAGACACCGAAAAAGCATTTGACGAAGCACAACATCCATTCATGATAAGAACCCTCAACAAGTAGGGACAGAGGGAACATACCTCAATATCATAAATGCTGTATATAAAACACTCACAGCCAACATCATCCTTGATGGGGAAAAACTGACAGACTTTTTTCCCCTTACGGTCAGGAACAAGACAAGGGGTGTCCACTCTCACCACTGTTATTTACCAGAGTACTGGAAGTCTCAGCTTCAGAATCAGACAAGAAACAAATCAAAGGCATCCAAATCAGCAAGGAAGAAATCAAACTTTCACTATTTGTAGACCACATTATACTCTATAGAAAATCTGAAAGACTCCACCAAAGAATTGCTAAAACTGATACCTGGATTCAGTAAAAGTCACAGGATACAAAATTAATGTACGGAAATCTGTTGCATTTCTACACACCAATAATGAGGTAGCAGAAACAGAAATTAGGAAAACACCACTATTTATAATTGCACCAAAAACAACAGAATACCTAGGAATAAACCTCACCGAAGAGATGAGAGACGAGTACTCTGCAAACTGTAAAACGACGATGGAAGAAACTAGAGATGGGGCGCCTGGGTGGCTCAGTTGGTTAAGCGTCCAACTCTCAGGTGTAGGCCACGTCCATCCAGCACACTTGCTTTTAGTTTACGTCTAAGAACTACAGTCCCAGAAGCTGCACATATCTGCAAAAATGGCAAAATCTTACTAGGCCTTTTTATGTCCTGAGAACTGAGTCTGGAATTGTCAGGTTGGAGGCTCAAAACTACGGCCAGACAGAAATGTGGGTTAAACTCCACTTGCAGCTTGGATCCTACCAACTGCTGCCAGCCCTTTGGGAAATTATAGCGGCCACCATGAGGAGTGTTACAAGTAGATACGATTACTTTTTTTTTTTTTTTTTT